AAGCAACCGATGGAAGGTCTTCATAACTAATAAGATGTTTTAACGACATCTTTCTTCTTCTTTCATTAGGTGACAACAAGGCCATGCTGCTGCAGGATTGACATGTCTTATTTGACAGCTAATGCAATACTGTTTCTCATCACATATTACGTGATCAGTCAATACCTTGTATTGTGTTTTTAAGACCTTCTTTGCAAACTCACTCAGTAGTGTAAAATGAAGATCGTTGTTATCTATAATTTCTTCTGGAAGATCAATCCCAATTATATTATTAAACATTGTATTTCCAAGTGCATAAACGTTGTCTGTCAATAAATAGAAAGGAACCTGGCTATGTTTAATTATTTTTTTCAAGTGCCCAAAGAATCCTTCTACTCTATTTGTTGTAAAATCTCGATACATCCCATATTTGATACATTCAGAAGGAATCCAATTTTCTTTGTGTTCGATTAAATCAATTATACACATCAGTCCTTTATTGATATGTATTCCCTTTGCTTCTTCCATCATTTCTTGAATGTTATCGTGTGATGTGTCAGGTTCATCTGCTGAATTTATAATATCACCTGTATCTGGTTCGAACAAGTGCTCATCATTTTCCTCGTCACTACTTTCGTTATCATCATGGTACCTACTTTCATCATCACTGTCTTCTTCTAAGTTTTTAATATTTTTTATTACAATACTTTTCCATGTTTCAATTAAATCATCTTCGTTCAACTTCATGTTCATTGTTAAATGAAATAATTTCATTATTATATGATCATTCTTGAAATATTTTGTCAATGATCTTTCTATATGAATTCTGCAGAAGAATAGTTTGGAATGTGGAAATACATGTTTCAAAGCATTATATTGAGCAATACTGCGATCACACACGATGATTTCGGGCCCATAATTTAAAATATTGTGAAGTTGATGGAGGAATAATTTATACGAATTTTCGGATTGATCAAATAAATATCCAAATGATAGGAGTTGGTTAAAAGAATTATCATCCTTTACAATAACAGCATACAAGTTTTTGTTATATATATTTGTTTTAGCAGTATCATCAACATACCATCTTCTTTGACTGTATTCCATTTGGGCTACTTTCTTGTGAATGAACATTAGGGAATGAATATAGCCATTAGTGAAAGTATTTGTTAATTTAATAAATGAATCATTTTCAAAAAATGATTCTGAAAGAAATATATTTTCAAGGATTTGATTTCTGTCTTCTTCTCTCTGAATTTGTCTAAATTTTCGAAGGGGAATTTGAATATGAGGATGATTTGCAAGAAACTTGATTATTTCGTTGTTTGTTTTTGGAATTAAATGTTTCTCAAATTTTAACAAAGGGCATGTTTTTGATACAACAAAGAAGTAGTCCAATGGATGCTTGTGTTCATTAATTTCTAATACTCTATTTACATTATCAAACCCTAATGTTACAATTAATTTATATTCACAATCTCTTCCTTTACATGTTTCTTTTGTCTTTCCTGAATGATTACAATAAAATACAATTTTTAGATTATTTTTATTTACTTTAGTCGATTTTGTATGAATGGGGAGAAATAAAATTATTATTAATTTCCTAAGGGTGGTAATAACAGCACTTTTGTCATTGGCATCGTGACATTTAATATCATTGTGAATATAGGTTTTAAATATTTCAATTCTTTTGTCATATTCTAGTTCTTTTGGAACCATCAATTCTGATGCAAACATTTCTTTTTGTATAATTCTTAATTTTACTTGTTCATACCAATTTATTGATTTACAAACATTCATCATCCTTTCTATAATTCTTCTTAACAAACCATTTAATTTATTCAATTCAATAATTATTGATTCAATATTTTGTGAATATAATAATTTTGACGTTAAAACAAGTATTTCATCCATTACATCTTTGTTGATATGCTCTTTGTATTGATTAATAATAATATTCATTATGTCTTTAATCTCATTTTGAGCGTCTTTCAAAGTAACTTGATTAAACACGCATTTATTAACGATGTTGGACAGGTTTATGGATATGTTCTCCAAAATTTGTTCGGTCATTCACAGATTTAAAGATGGGAAACAAAATAAGTGAATAAATAATGAACATAAATAAAACCCTAAAAATAAAAAAGGGCAAAATATTTTGCATCAATAAAACGATGATAGCTATTTTGCACCAACAGAACAGACCTTTTTTTTATTTCACATTTCTAATTTCTGCAATAAAAATACACCCATTATTTCATCATTCTTTTCATATTTTATTAAAGACACATGAAAGAAGCTCACAACGAATATTTCGAAGATGTTGAGTTTTCTTTGTAAAGTATTTTTAAATAGTTCTATTTATTTTTTTTATCATTTTTTTGATTTGAATTTCTTAAAATAAAAATACTATTCTATTTATAGACTGTTAAAAACAAATAAAAATATAAAAACAAATGAGCTCTTTCCTTTATGGTTGTCGTTTCTTCTTGATTCTTTTAGTTGTACTCTTCAAAGTCTTTCTTTTTTTGTCTTTTCTAGTTCTTTATTTCAAACTTCTTCTAAAGTTATAATAACACTGAAAGGGTAATGAATGTTATTGTTATTTCTCATTTGTGTTTGTATTTTTTTTATTAATAATTTCTTTTATTTTGTATAAATAAAATTCATGTAAGGCAATGGTAACTCATCAGAAGAGGAACCTTCTAATGCGAGTATCTTAGAAATAAACTCTATGATAGAAGTAGAGCGTATTGAAGAAACTGAAGTAATCACTTCTCAATATGATGAAAATCAAATTGTGGATCTATATTGATTGATTCTTTTGGTAAAAATAAAATTTTTGTTAATCATATGGTATTAATGTTAGCTCATTGCTTTTTTAATTGTTTATCTTTATTTGATTATTTGTAAATATCATTTAATGATAACGTTGATTGTTCGTTTAATCATTTATCTAATTTATGACTATTTCAATACAATTAATGACATGATTTGAGTGTGTGTTTTATTTCAATTTAATACACGTAATACTCATCATTCAATTAAACTTATTTTATATTTATTTGATTCAATTTTGATACTAGTTGAATGATTGTGATAATGATAAATAATTGAGAATTGAATAAGAATGATTTGGTCAATATATTTATTGTGGTGATATGAAAATGATTAGTTGTTACATATATCATATTCATTTTATTCATACTATAAATTCATTATTCACTTATTTTCAACACAATCTATTCTAATTATCATCTAGAGTTGATTTCTAACATTAATCATCAAAATAGATGGTAAATGATAGAATAATAAACAATGAATAAATAGAAAAGACTTTCATAAAAATGAAAGAAAATAAAAAAATAAGAAGAAGAAAAGAAAATCAAAATAATAAAAAGAATTAAAAGAATAATTAATAAAAATAAATTAAATTGAAAATCAACTTATATAATTTCTTCATTATTTAACATTATATTATTGAATAATAAAACACTAAATGTTCATTTTTTTTTATCAAATACATCATCAGAATTCTATGCTCAATGACCATTTCTTGTTAAATATTAAGTACTTCTTGAATGAGATTGGGATATCTTAAATCATATTCAATCCATACTGTCTCACTTCTTTGGATATTTCCTCTTGTTTCTTCAATTGGACTACTATACGTTAATTTATATATTTTTATGTATCTGATAATGTCCTAGATTTGTTTATTTGTTAAGTTATCTATTCATCTTTCATTAATCAGGAATGTTTTAATCTCATGTATTGTTTGATGAATTATGTCAATTGTGTTGTTTTAATAAAATCATATAATGCATCTTCTTCATCTTTAGTCAATATTTTTTATATCCAGATAATTTCTTAGAAATCTTTCCTTTCTTTTAATTATGTTCGTACTATCTCTTTCAAAATAAAGAGTTAGAGTATCTGATCATTATTTATACTTTTAAGTAATGACTAACCTTACAATGAAGATTATCTAAGAAATATCATTATTACTTGTCTTAAATATCTACATGTCATTAATCCTATAGTTTAAATATGTTCTTAAATCAATGAAATGATTTATTAGTGGTATATTCATTGAGACTGTATTTTATCAATTCATTCACTTATTCTTTATTTCTATTTTGTTATTCAAACCAAGAGTAAACTATTTTTATAAATAGAATAGAATAAAAAAACAAGATAAATCTAGGGTGTCATGTCTTATCAAAATAATGATATATCAAAATAAATAGTAAAGGTTATATAAATATATAATTACATTATATTTAAATAATAAATAAAATATGATGTCTGTAGAGCATGAAAAATGAAATGTGTAAAAAAAGCATCACTTTTATTATCATATATCAGTTTCAACATCAAATAATCTAAATAATAAAATAAAAATATATTAGATTTGAAATAGATACAATAAAAAGAAGATATAAACAAAATGAACAATAAGGAACATAGATATAAATATAAGATAATACAAAGAAAAAAAAATAATAAAATATTTACTATAATATGGAATTTGTTATTTTCAATAAAATGAAAATCTTAAAAAAAAGAAAAAAAAGAAATGAAACAAAACATGAATAAAAATAAAAATTAGAGTTATAAAGTTCAAAATAGAAATAAAAATTGTTATCATTGATAATATAAATATAGAAATAGAATAACAAAAAAAAAAATAGAAACAAAATCGAATGATTTTTTGTTCTAAGAAGAAAATAGAATTGTTGTGAACTTCTTCCATCCTGTGAGCCTATATTTATGTGAGGACACTAATATTTATGTTTATTATCAGGATACTGATAGTATACATATTGAAAAAGATAAATTAGCTCAATTGAGAGAGTCCTATTATATCAAATATAATAGAGAATTAGTAGGAACCAAAATGGGACAATTTCATTCTGATTTTCCAACAGTTAAAGGAAAAGAATCATGGGCAATTAAGTCCATCTTCTTGGGGAAGAAATGTTATCTCGATGTTTTATCAAACATTGATGATGACATTGATTATTTAATAAGAATGAAAGGAATCCATAAAGATATTATTAAAAAACGAGCAGAAGAGTCTTTTGGAGGAAATGTTATTGATCTCTATGAATATCTTTGTTATGGAGGGATCTTATCATTTGATTTATCAGAAGGAGTTCTCATTTTGTGTTTGAAAGAGGTTTCACTGTTAAGACTCTTTCCTCCTTTAATAGAACAATTAAATTCTAATGACCTCTCAATTATTAATTGATTCTTCTTTTTCTTTATTTTGTTAATTTTTGTTGTTCAAAAGGAGATAATGATGATAAATTATAATGATTTGTATTATTTTTATTTAAAATAACATCATTATAAAGTGTTTTTCCATAATCTTTAATAACATCTTTTATTTTCTTTCCTTCACTTATTTCTGTAAGTGTTTTTCCATTTGTTTCATACCATTTAGGGAGTCTATCAAGTACCATTTCAATCATTTGTCCACCAGGTATTATTGATGTTATTGTTTTTGATATTGGTAGTATTTTAGATACTACTGTACTTGTTGTTTTATATAATTTACCTCCTATTCCTGCTATTTTCTTTCCAACACTTTTAAGTCCATTCTTTAGTTTCTTTAAGAACCCAAATCTCATAATAATCAAATGATATTAATTAGTTATTTATAGATAATCATCTACTTCATCTTCTTCATCTATTTCATCTATTATATTATCATTCACTTCTTCATTATTAAGTCTATTAGCAAATAATAATGGTTTTCTTTTTCTTTTTA